ATCTCGTGGCGTTTAAATCTTCATGTCTCATTAAATAATATTATCAACCACAAAGTACCCCCCCTCCAGCGCCCATTCACATCTGTATTTCGATGGGAATTTCATCCTAACAACCCATCTTTATATGCTTTTCTCACCCACAAATCCTAATGCTCTACATTCCTAGCACGCAAGTCTTTATCAATTCATCTATAAACTATTTTCTTTCTTCAAATCTATTCTTTATCATCAATTGAAAAATCAATATACATATATGAATTTCACATTTTCCCAAAACAAGTATACCAGCCAAATTTCCCATGTGAAGAAGCTAAGTTCTAAGTCCACATTTGCTCTAATGGAATCCTATCAAAGCTAAAAAAAACTTAAAATCAAATATAGAAATCGTACTGACCAACGTATGGAGAGGAGGGGGCTCGAGTTCAATATAGCCCACAGACATCCCAGCAATCTCTGAAATGGCTGCCTCCCGAACTTCGGGGAACTCGCTGGTTAAGTCCTCATGTGCTGCCACAAAAGCATCCTGCCAAAAACCCGGCAACCTGATCCGCCTGCTGTTCATATGCACACCCCACAAGTGTTTTACCAAATTCTCACGGTCCTCCATATCCTAATCGAAAACAAAATCATGTCATTTAATCATCTCATCTAAAAGCTATGCTGCCATATATATTCTTTAAAATCAATTAACTCTTTCATCAAAACTGTCATATATGGATAAAGACATATAAAACTTCAATATGTACACATTGGTACAAGTATCATACAAGAACATCAAGATCATCGGTGGGGGGATAGTCGATGCAGTCAGATCTTTGGTTGAGGTTTCCAACGGACTGGCGGAGGGTGGTGCTGTCGGTGAGCATTGAACAGAACGCTAGAAACAAAATTACCACTAATGCCCAGAATTTGTACCTGCCGCGCCCCCAAAAAAAATGCTCGAGGTATCGAATGAATTGTCCTTCTTTGGAAAAATTGAAGGCGGGGATTGTACAACTGCCGATGCTGTGGGCGTTGATAATGGTAGCAAATCATCATCATCCTTCGTTTCGATTAATATATAATACTGCAAAATGCTTTTAAAAAATTAAAAACCTAAGCGTTGTTTGATGAATCTTTGAAGCTCCATTTACAATGCCAAATCTTATCAGAAAATCCAGATTTGATTGTAATTACAGGCATTAATCTGAAGGAAAATGAGCGATATTCAGGGAAATGGAAACAGTGATAACGAACTATGGTCGAGAATCGCAAATTTTGAAAGCCCTTTGAAGTGAAATTCTGAATCCTCAATCTATTTGAAAATGTGAATATGAGTCATTGCTTAATGAAAATAGTTAATGTAAAGGCTAACTTGCATAGGAGCTTGACATTAAATGGTTACGGCTTTGTCCTCTGACTTCAAGATGCATTTGATTTTAACGTCTACATTG